AATCACAATCTCTCTTCTCTCTCATTTGCATTGTTTCGTAGATCCAAGAAACCGATTTTCGGTTTACTTCTTCATATTGTTCTCTGGACGAACCGGTTTATTAATTCGGGTTTTCGATTTCAGTCGAAGATGCTGGGAGATTTCATTACAAGAATCATAATGTGAGATCTTCTCTATCTTCATCTTGTAATAACATTTTAGCATCTTCTTCTTCTCTTTCTCTTAGAGATTTTACAGAAAAAAAATTGCAGATTGCTTGTAGGTTACGCATACCCAGCATATGGATGCTACAAAAGCGTTGAAAAGAAAAAGCTTGAGATTCAAGAACTTAGATACTGGTGCAAGTATTGGTAAAGTTTACCACTTGTTAAAATAAAGTAGATTCCTTTTATAAAGATAAGGAATCTTATTCTCTCATAACCATTTTTTATATATAAAAATTCGATTCATTTTTGCAGGATCTTGGTTAGTCTTCTTACAGTTTTCGAAAGGATTGGAGACATTACTGTATCATGGTGAGTATAATAACTTGTAACATTCATTATAATCTTCCATAAAAAATAATTCTAAATTGGTTGTTTTGTTTACAAATCCTTAGGTTACCATTATACGGAGAGATCAAAATCGCTCTTCTTGTCTATTTATGGTACCCGAAATCGCAGGTACTAGTACGACAATGCAATAAAAATTTCATGAACATTTGATTGACTGATTCACAAAATACAATATCATCTGCTTTTGCAGGGAATCATCTATGTCTACGAGACGCTACTACGTCCTTACATGTCAAGGCACCAATCGGATTTCGATAATCGTATTTCGGTTTTAAAGATTAGAGGACATTCTGTAATCATTCAACTATTGCAATGTGGTTATCACTGGACTCTCCAAATCTTCAAGCATCTGCAACAACAATTCTCCATTGATAAGGTATAATAAAATCTCACTCTCATTTTCATGAAATCAAGAAGCTTTACTGTACTCAAAATCCATCCACTTCTTTGCCCTGCAGAAAAAGAACCGATCAAAGTCTAAAGATAGACAACAAACACAAACATCATTCATGTTTCTCCATTAAGACAAGGACCATTGTGCAACCCACTCCAATCACACAATAACCGGTTTTAAACCACCGGTTGCACACAGACTAATGTAACAGAAGAAAAAAAAAGAGATTTTTGGAGAATTGTGAAATCGAAATTTGTTTCCTTTGATTTTTTTGCGTAAACACTTTATTGGATTGTATACAAACATTTGTGTTTAAAAATGCAAACTTAATTTTATCTCTTCGATGATTTTATCCCCAAATCAGAGCTATTTAACAATCTGAGGAATACGAATTGACTGAAAAATCCAATCAATCATACGTTTCAGGAACTGAATTCCGGCGGAGAAGTGAAGCCATATACGGCGGAGGAATTGAGATCTCGGCGAGTTTTCCGATGAAGCTTGAGCCGTTGGTTGAAGTCGAAGGTAAGACCAAGCAGCTTGCTTAACGAGACGGTTACGAATAGAGATATCTCCACTACTTCCGTTGATCGCCGGTAAGTTGACGGAGGAGTTACTCGGAGATGATGATGATGTGAGGATGTCTCTGAGAGATGTGTAAGCTACGAAGGAAGATGGTTTTAGAGTGACGAGCTCGAAATCGAAAGACGAAGGAGATGAGGGAACGATCGGGAAAGGTTTATCGGAGGTCAGAAGAGTGGCTATGGAGTTTCTACGGCGGAGCGGAGTCGCCGGAGATTGTGACGGCGGAATCTCCATAG